CCCCAACCTCCTCCCTACCTGTGAGGAAGCTCTACAGCTGTCCCTGGGACTGGAGAGAGGCCGACTCTGAGATTCTGTAGAACAGGATGCATTTGAAGATGTTTCATCAAGAGAAACTGGAAGAGAGGGAAATAAAGGTTAGTCCCTAGTGAATGCTTATGGCTCTTTGCCCATCGTGTTAAGGGTACTTACCATCATTTTCACCACTCACAGTGCTGGTTTCATTAGACCCACAGCTCTCCACATCGGCTGTGTCCTCTGGCTCTTCTCCTTCCACTGCAGCTGGATTTCGAGACCACTGCAGGGCATCCTTCTGTGATAGCAAGGAAAACTCAGGTGAGCAAAACCCTATAAATCCTACAAGCACAGTCATCCTTCCTAAACGTGTATTGCTATTCCTCTTCTACATGACCTTTCTCTGCAAGTTCTTTGCATACATATAGGAAGAAAGTTAGATATAATTTTGTATTCACTCATTCATTAAACATTTAAGGGGTGCCTCACCATGCTAGTTCTTAGGGGGAGGGTGGGATATCAGGAGGGGGAATCAGGGTCCTGCCCTCAAGGAACTCAACTCAGCAGGGGAGAAAATCAAATCTATTACACTGCAAAGCACAGTGAGAGAGCTATAGAGAGAGGGGCCATCTAAGTCATTAAGTCTGAGGAAAGGCCATAGAGTACAAAAAGTATGAAAGGATCAGGGAGGTAAGGCTTCCAAGGGACTGTACTGTTCAAGCTGAGTTTTAAAAGAAGTTAAGTTAGTAGGCAAATGGGTCGGCAGTGGGGAGACAGAAGGGAGTTCTAGATAATGGGATGAACAAATGTGGAAGAATAGTCCAAGCTCAAACTGTAGATTTCAGAAGGCGTGTGGGGAAACTGGACACATGAGGAGGCTAGAGATCTCGCTGGTGAGGTAGTAGACAATAAGATCCTGTGTACCAAGGAATTAAGATTTTGATTATTTTTGAGTCTCTGAAGGATATTAGGAAAGAAATTTCATTCTGCTAACCATGAGAAGTCTATAGGTAGGAAGAAGAGTTAGATGATGACAAGTGAAAATGACAAGTGAAAATAACGGACATCGGAACTAAATAAAACAAAAAACTAAAGCTAGAGTGTAGAGAAGAGCTCCATTCCAAGTTTCATCTGCTAACAAATGCTTTTTCCAATAGGCTCTGTGTAGTCTCAGAATTAAACTCCAAGGAAAACGTAGGAGCTACCTCACACCTTGAAAGTAGGAAGGAGGATGAATGAATGTTGGGGGTTTAAAGAGAGGAGGAGGAGCAGAGATAAGTTGAATGGGGGATGTCTTCTCTTTTGAATAAAAGTATGTAAAGAAAGGTAAGCAAAATCATGATTCTACCTCTTATGAATATATCAGAAATTTATAAGAAAAATCCACAAAATTCTAATTCATCCATTTCATGGGTCCTTGATCTACTACATTAAGTTTTCATCAATTTTTTTATACTTTAAGCCCAAATCATGATGATGTAAATAAAAAAAAGAAAATAGCTTTTCAGATCTCTCTTCTCTATCAACTATAAACGCTCCTCAGAATCAAAAGCTAAAGAATATTTTTAGTACTGCAATTATACTTACTGACTGCCATGTTCTTGCAATGATGCAAGAAATTTACAATCTAACCCCAAGGTTAAACTAACATAGAGTACTCAATAATAAATACAGTAGCCTGCTACACTGGCAAAACTGATCCCAAAACTCCAGTACTGGCAAGTGTGGGAAAATATGCAAACACTATTGGTGAGAGTAAGAATGGTATCGAAAGATTCATACACTGCCAGTGAGAAAGTAAACTAAGCAAAACTCTATTTATGAGACTTAAAAAGAACAATCTGTTTAAATAAAACAAACTTGAAAAATCCTTAAAAAAGAGAAAATCAATCAATTGAACTACATTAAAATTAAGATCCTCTGTTCAGAAAAAGACACCATTAATGGAGCAAAGAAAAGGCACCCTACAGAATTGGAGACAATATTTGCAACTCATGTAATCAATAAAGAACTTGTATCTAGACCACATAAATCAGTAAGAAAAAAAGAATACAGAAGAAAAATAAGCAAAAAACATGAATTAGGTACTGTACCAAAGAGGATATCCAAATGGCCAACATTCACATGAGAAGGTATTTAACAATAAGGAAGACACAAAATAATGCAAATTAAAACCACAACAAGGTATCATCACATCCTTAATAATGGCTAAAATCAAAGTTTAACAATATACCAAGCAGTACTCGTGAGGATGTGGAACAGGTACACTGAAAATGGATCCAACCATATGAGAATATAGTTTGGCATTATCTGGTACAACTGAAGATAGAGACATCCTATGATCCAGCAATGTCAATCCTAGGGTTGGATTCCCTAGAGCTATGCATGCACATACACATCAAAAAGCACATCCAGATGTTCATGGCAGCTTCATTTGTAACTGGGGCTACAAACAATCAAAGTGTAAAATCAATATATATGGTTAGTGAACTCAATAAATGGACGTTATAAAATAAAAAAAATGAATAAACTACAACTACTCAAAACAATACGGATAATTCTTAAAAACATTAAACAAAAAACATAAAAACACATACTGTATGAGTCCATTTTGTAAAAAGTTCAAAAACAGGCAAAACTAAACTATAGTGTTGGTGATGCAAACACTGGGGGAAACAAAGAGAAGCAAGAAAATAACTTCCATAAAGTCAGGGTAACAGTTACTTTTAGGGAGAAGAAAGGGGTGTGATTGGCAAGGGGGGTAAGAAGGGGCTCCTGGCTGCTGGCCATGTTCGATGTCTTGATCTGAGTGGCAGTTACGAAGGTGTTTATAATACAGGCATACTCAGAGATATTGCAGGTTTGGTTCCAGACCACCACAATAAAGCAATAAAAGGTTACACGAACTTTTTGGTTTCCCAATGCATATAAAAAGTCATATGAAGTTTTTGGTCTCCCAAATGCTGTAGTATATTAAGTATCCAATAGCATTATGTCTAAGAAAACTGCATACCCTAAATAAAAATATTTTATTGCTAAAAAAATGCTAACCATCATCTGAACCTTCAGCTAGTTGTCAGCTTTTTACTGGCGGAGGGTCTTGCCGTGATGTTGATGGCTGCTGAACACTAGAGTGGCTGTGGCAATTTCTTAAAATAAGACAACAATGAAGTTTTGCAGCATCACTTGACTCTTCCTGTCACAAATGACTTCTCTGTAGTGTGTGATGCTGTTTGGTAGCATTTTACTCACTGCAGAACTACTTTCAAATTTGGAGTCAATCCTCTCAAACCCTGCCACTGCTTTATCAACCAAATTTATGTAATAATCGTAAATCTTTTACAGTCATTTCAACAATTTTTTCAATAAACTTTTACTGCATTTTTAAAATATCACAACTAAGTCTGAGGAATCATCTAACATCTTGGCGCTTCTGAAGCTGGACAACTTAGACCTTATTCATCAGCCCACAGAACATGTTCCTTTTTCAGAAACATAGATACCATCCCCAAAATTTCTGATATCCTAGTTTTTAACTGTTGTGGCTTGTTGAATCAAAGCAGCTGAGTTTGATACAAGTTCAAAGTAATTCCCTTCAAGAATTAACTCATCTTTCTGGGCTTGAGATATTGAACGAGCAACACCTGACCTCGTCCGAACCCTGCAGATGTATTTTTCATCCAAGAAATTTTGGATTTCAACAAGAGAACCATTCTCCTGAATAACAACGATGGGAAAGTGGGCATACTTAAACCCCCTCTTGTAATGGAAGCCCCATGTAACACCCTCTAGATAGTGTAAACAGTAGCCAGTTCCTTTATACACCCTCACCATCTGTCAACCTGGAGCCTCTTCTTTTTCTTCCAAGAAGACTGAGTTCTACATTGATGTAAATGAAGTCCCTCCACAGGGTGCCCCTGGCGCCCTTTGCAATACCTGTGCGTCCCATCAAAGTGATATCCACATTTTCTGGAACATCAACAGTCTAATGGCTAAGGATGGTCTTCATCTTAGCAGTAGACACAGCCCATTTCAACCATCTTTAGAGCACCTTCACCAAGAGCAGATTCCATCTCAAGAAACTACTTTCTCTGCTCATCCATAAGAAGTAATTCCTCACCTGCTAAAGTTTTATCAAGAGATTGCAGCAATTCAGTCACATCTTCAGGCTTCACTTCTAATTCTAGTTCTTTTGCTGTTTCTACCACATCTGCAGTTACTTCCACCACTGAAGTCTTGATAGTCCTCAGTCATCCATGAGGGCTGGAATCAACTTCTTTCAAACTCCTGTTAATGTAGGTATTTTGACCTCTTCCCATGAATCACGAATGTTCTCAATGGCATCTAGAACGGTGAGTCCTTTCCACTGGAAAGTTTTCAATTTACATTGCCCAGATCCATCAGAGGAATCACTATCTCTGGCAGCTATATAGCCTTATGAAATGTATTTCTTAATAAGACTTGAAAGTCAATATTATTCCTTGATCCATGGGCTGCAGAATGGATGTTGTGTTAGCAGGCACGAAAACTATATTAATCTCATTGTAAGTCTCCATCAGCACTCTTGGGTGGACCAGGTGCACTGCCAATGAGCAGTAATATTTTGAAAGGAATTTTTTTTTTTTCTGAGCAATAGGTCTCAACAGTGAGCTTAAAATATTCAGTATACCATGTTGTAAAAAGATGTGCTGTCATCCAGGCTTTGTCGTTCCATTTATAGAGCACAGAGTAGATTTAATATACATAATTCTGAAGGCCCTAGGATTTTTAGAATGGTAAATCAGCATTGGCTTCCATTACATTAACCCCTGATAAGAGTCAGCCTGCCCTCTGAAGCCAGGCATCGACTTCTCTCTAGCTGTGAATGTCATATTCTTCCAATATGAAGCTGTTACATCTACAATGAAAATGTGTTGTTTAATGTAGCCACCTTCTTTAATTATCTTAGCGAGGGTTTCTGGGTAACTTGCTTCAGCTTCTACATCAGCACTGCTGCTTCACCTTGCACTTTTCTGTTATGGAGATGGCCTCTTTCCTTAAACCTCATGAACCAACCTCTGCTAGCTTCAAACTTCTTCTGCAGCTTCCTTACTTTCTCTCAGCCTTAACAGAATTGAAGAGAGTTAGGGCCTTGCTCCTGAATTAGGCTTTTTGCTTAAGGGAACGTTGTGGCCGGTTTGATATTCTACTCAGAACACTGAAACTTCATCCTTATCAGCAATAAGGCTGTTTTGCTTTCTTATCATTCTTGTGTGCAGTAAAGTAGCACTTTTAATTTCCTTCAAGAACTTTTCTTCT